GAACATATTTTATAGCCTCGACCATTGAAAGACCCATGTGAACGCAAAGTATTGCGTGATCTGGCCTTTCTATGGGTGCACCACTTATGCAATAATAACAATCACCAAGAATTTTGATGCGTAACTGTTCGTACCTGCAAACAAATACGATGACAAATGATAAAAGAGATTTAACGAGAGGCATCTGTTAACATTCTGAAACATTTATCGATCTTTCGACGAATTCTCGTCGTCTTAATTGTCGTTATCGTTAATCTCAAAGAAAAAAAAGTAGAAAAAAAGTAGCACTAATTTGCACGGATATTAAAGAATACTCATTAAGAATTCCTGATCGATCCTTTCAGAAAAGGGAAATGAGTTTCACGTTGTAGAACAAATGAAATACGTGTTGGAAAAACCTTTTTTTTCCTTTTTTTTATGTAACATACTTGAATACTAATGAAGAATTTAAACTAATGAAAAATCAAGTCAATCTAATCTTTATACTTTATTAAATTAATTTAGAATTTTTATAGATTAATTATAATTGTTGTGGATAAATTTTCATGGACAAAAACAAAAAGAAAAGAAAAGTAAGTAAGTAAGTAAGTAAGTACCGTTCGCTGAGTTGATCGAATCGTGCAAACAGCTCGTTGAGTATTTTAACCAGTTCGCTAGCGCTGTAGGTAGATGATATTGCTGTGAAACCAACAATATCGGCATAAAGTATCGAAACATTTTCGTGTCTCGACATGTAGATCTTTTTAAATTGCGTGTCCTTGCATGCACCCAAATCCTGACGCATTTTGACGGCCACGTGTTCCGGTAGGACACTGAGAAGTAGCCTTTCCTGTTCGGCACTCTGTTCTTCGATTACCAATTGTACTTCCAAACTTTGTCTTGTCTCGAGAAATGCTCGGCGTTGCTGAAACTCCGCCAGGGAGTAACTGGAAGCACCCAAAATAGCGACGCCGGCCGAGAGTGTCACCGTCAGGATCTATAGGATGTTTTCACGCTAAATTCTTACGATTGCAAGCTTTTCAATTTACGCGGGGATTAACCGATTAGGAAAAAAGGGTAACCCTTCGATGCACGCTTTGTTCGATGAACTATCTCATCCGGAAATATACGAACCGCAAAATGTCGTGCACCGAAGGGTTAATATGTGTGTATATAATGAGAGAGATAAGGCAAGTGTGTTTTTCTCGATATTATTATTTTTTTTTTTTTTAGCTTCACGAGAAAGAGTATCGAAGATCGCGTCGACGTATTTTCCTCTATGGGAGGGGGGGGGGGAGGAAATAAAAAAAAAAAGAAAGAAAGCTTTCATCACACGTGTACGAGAGCAAAACGATTTGTAAGAGTTAATAAACGTTGAACACGTTTAATCGGGGGGGGGGGGAAGGGCATTTAATCAACGTTCCATTCTTTCCAACGGTCCAGATTCTCGTCAATGAAGACTACTCTAGTCGTTCTCATTGAAAAACGATCGTATGTCGTGCATGGAAAGGCGACGGTGCCGCATCGTTGCACGATGGATGTCACCTATATGTCCGTCTCTGTCCCGCGCGCGAGCTCTATCTCTCTATTTTAAACTACCATTGACCGAACTCTACTCGAGTGTCACTAACGACAACACCACATGTGCACACGTGTATATGCCGAAGCTTTCGCTTTCGTGTACACGAACAACAAGTTTGTAACTTTAAGAGTCGATTCTTCTTTGATCCACCTATGTCCGTCCGTCTGTCCGTACGTCCGTTAGTCAGTCGGACGTAGAACTTTTTAGGGTAAACGAACGCGATTATTATCATACGTTATTACACGTTGATCCGATTTAATTGCACGAGATATGATTGGACTAACGTAAAGAAAAATCAACGTCTTTCCTTTAATTTTGTCTCAATCATTTTTTTTTTTTCTATGTTTCTCTAGTCCGATATATTCTTGTTGACTTGAACTATCACCAATGTGCGTTAAACTTTCATTATCGTCCTTGAAATAATTTGCAAAAGTTTCCTTTTTAATTTTTTTTTCTTTTTTTTTTTTTTTTTTTTTTTTTTTTTTTCCCCCTTATGAGAAATCAAGGTCTGCAAGATAATATTTTTATTTCTTCATCGTCGGACTTTACCCGTAGCTCTCCCTATTCGCGATAAGATCGATGAACGAAGTACAATCACGTATAAATTAGTTCGAGTAAGAGCACCGATCAGTAACACGTAAACAAAGCGTATAATATTCGCGTAGCGTATAAACGTGATCTTTCAAAAATATTTCTATACAATGGGGTTGTATCAAGAAGCACAATAGATCGATCGAAATACACAAGACGTTAATTTAACTTAAGAGGGGATAAGAAATTAGTAACAAGTCGAAGGAGCAACAGTTGTTTTACACACGCACGTCATCCCAGTTTACTTTTCACTATATCTTCATTTTAATTGTTCCAATATAGATCGATATAAACACATATATGAAATAATTGATATCTTTGAATATGAAATTAATAAAGGACCTACCAGAACATCGATGGCCGATAGAATTGGTACTTTGGAGAGTCTAAAAACGGTGACCATATAAGCAGCAGCCGTAGCAATCGCTAATAAGAAGCAGAAGGATAATCTAAGGGGTAATGTTGCGAATAGGAGATAAAGGAAGAGCAGGAGCCATCCTAGTCCATCCCTGGGCGTGACCTCGCTCGATTTGAGAAACAGCTGAGCGAGCAACTGTCCCGTAGAAAGCCACCATGCCACGTGGGGAACCGCGGCCCACAAGCCGTCTCTGGCCCGTGTTCCGTGTTCCGCCCATGCCAATAAACCCAGGTTCAGACCGATGAAGACAGCGGTTAACCCTCGAGCTGGTAGTTCCGGTTCAGGTGAGGCTACCGTATAAGTCCCGTATAGGACAGCTGATAAAAGGAAGCACTGAAGGCCACCGCGTCTTTGTTGAAGGGATGAGGCACGATAAAGTCGTTCAAGTTTAACGTTATTGAAACTGGTTCTTAACAAATTCGACGGCCTGCCGGAGTTCAGGTAAGACTCCTCGTTCGTAGCCTCCAATCTCTGGGACATGGCGCCGGGGAAGTCTCGTATACGTTATCACACGCACCGCATTTTTTGCCTTTTTTTTTTTTTTTTCTTTCTCTTCTTATTTTCCACCCTTCTACTTGATTATTTCACAATTAAAATAATTTCATCGACTATTTTAATATCGTCATACGTTATTATTGTAAATTAAAAGTTTCTTCTCGTTGATTCTCATCGAGTATCTGTATATTTCTTTGGAAACTCGTTTCGCAAGCTCACTTGGATTTAGGGTGGGCGAGGTCAAGTCTTACTCTGTCTCTACCTCTCTCTCTCTCTCTTTCTCTCTCTCTCTCTCTCTCTTTGGTTCTAGCTCCTCCTATTTCTCTCACTCGTTCATTCCATTCGAATTTCCTAACTTTTCTGTCTTGACTAATCCTTAAACATATCTTCCTGATCAGGTTTTTTTCCCCTTAATCCTTTATGGTTAATTACTAACGCACCGATTGACCAAAATATCAAGGAACACACACGCTGAATTTTATCATGCACCCACAGACACACACACATACGGCACCAGCCAGGCCGGCCTCCTTTTCGACGTGCACCTGCACCCGCGCGCGCGGGGGACTGTCCAGGTTGCTACTATCGTTCCTGTCTTTTCTCCTCGGTTTCTCTTCTCTTCTCTTCTCTACTCTTCTCTTCTCTTCTCTTCTCTTCTCTCCACGGGTGGAAACTTTCTCTCGCCCTCGCCCTCGCACTCTCTCTCTCTCTCTCTCTCTCTCTCTCTCTCTCTCTATTTCTCTCTCTCTCTCTATTTCTCTTTCTTTATCATTCTGCGCACCCTCTCTTACCACCACCTCTTTTCAAGCATAGAGTCTAGGCGTGCGCCATGCGAACCCCTGATAGCTCCGACCCTCACGATTCGGGTCGATATCAACCACCACAAAACCCAGCAGTCAACGTCGAGTCCTACCTGCACCTCTTTCTGCCCTACCTATCATCTACCTACAAACCTAACTCTGCTAAATCCAAGAATACAAATTTCAACGACTATTGAATTATTTTACAAGAAAATCTACTAAATATTATCTTATATCAGTTTTTCTTATTTTATAATACGACAATTATATTCTTATTTGTATTTTTTTTTCGATTATAGATCAGGAAGAGAAAGAGAAAGAGAGAGAGAGAGAGAGAGAAAGAGAGAGATCAATAAGTTGTCCTAGGTTAATGGTTATTTGAAAATCATTATTAACTAATTCGGTGCCTTCTTAAAAACAAATATGTGAATCTTGCCATTTATCTTGCTTATCTATTTTAACTAACTGTCAAATATTTCATAACTGTAAGTGTTGAGATACTTAAGCGTTGTAAATTGGTGGGCTATATTATTTACATTCTAAACAGAATCAGAAATAAATTAATATTAAGGTACCTAATTAATTTTTACATATAATATATATATACGTGTATTGCGATTAGATGCTAATCGGTAACTCGAATTTAGCGGTTATCTGCCGTTCTTGCCAAATGACCTATTTACCTCCACTTGCGAAATCCTCTTATCGTTTTCTCTCGATCGTGTGTATACCTATGTACTTACATATGTACTCGCTTTTGTCTAAATATTTTTTTTTCTCAAAGTCGGTGTTAGAGAAGAAAGAGAGAGAGAGAGAGAGAGAGATTCTCTTCTTTGGTTCTTTTCTACCGGGTCACTAGATTCTTTGTTTTTCTACTCTTTTTTCTTCTTTGGTAGAAAAAATAATGGATAGAACGTATGTTTGAGTAATCGGGTATATACAAGTTCGACAATATTTATAAAATTTTCTTCTAACCTTATCGATATCGTTAATTAAGAGATGCATAATAATACGCGAAGAAAACTTACAAATATAATTAAACGAATTGTGGCCCACATAGCCAAATTATTTCGACTACAAAATAAATACTCTTGGAATAAAAATACGTAATAGTAGTATAATAGTATAAAATTTATGTAAAATATTTTAATGGCAAATATTATTGAATAATTAAGTCGTAAATTGAATAATGGTACAATGATTATAATATGATAATAAGAAAAATAATTCAATGCGAATAATGATACTACAGTAACGTAAGAAAATATTTTCATATTAAATTTTCAGCTTTTCGGTATTTGAAAATCATTCGGTACTACGTATCCTAGCTGTTCCATCTCTTTAATAATTTTCGGCACTTTGATCAAAGATTCAATCCACTTGTAATAAGCCAATTCCTCTCGAGTCCCACCGTATATCTTGGGCAAATAATTAGGCGAAATGTGTTTATGAAAGCTTTGCATGTCATCGCCATGGAAAAATATTCTGTCCTTCATGCGAGAATTCAAAAGAGGCTTGAAAACTGCATAAATCGCGTCGAATATCCAAGATTGATGAAGTATATGAATAGAATGAGTTTTTATTGGAAAAGAAGTTACCATTAAAGCCATCATCATATTTGCAATCTGTAATATTCAAAGATAAAATTAATTCGAGAAAGGGGAAAAATAATGAATGAGATGAAATAAAAGTCAGACCTGCGGTGTTACTGTCCAAACATGCGACATAGTGATACCCTTGAGATCGAAAACTACGATGCCACCTAAAATCTGAGCTCTTGGCTCGAGAATGCCCAGCTCGAGTACAATAACAGTAGCCTTGAAAATCTCCTCGACAGGATACTTTCGTGGATCCCAATTACCCATACGATAAATCAGCATCCGTCTACCGCATTCAGTTCTGTAAGCTGGCACAGTTATTACGTCATCGTCACCGATATGGCACATCTCGGTGGGACAGATATCCTGATGTATCTCTGGATGTTCTTCCTTGAAGTTGTAGTAATTCACTATCTATTAAAAGATTATACGAGATAAGTGTTTCATATTACAAATCGTGTGAATCGACAAAAAAGACCTTAAAAAGTTTTACGTACATTAGTGTCTATGAAAAACAAAATGTTTTGTCACTTAATCACGTTTTTTTATCAGATCGGATAGATACTTCTTTGAGGTATTTTAATAGATTAATTGTTATGTATAATAATAAAGTGTAACGTTTATTATCTTTAAAAACTTACTAATCAATTATATAGACTATATAGGTGATAAAAATGTTTGCTTCAATACAAAAATCTACCATTTTCTAATTAATTTTCTATGCACATTTGTTTTTTTTTGTTATGAATCCCGTGATGTTATCGATTGACATGTAACTAGAATACTTTGTAAAATTATAAGCACGGAATAACGTGCAATATCGATTTCGTGCAGATTTCGTTTGAAACGTTCTTGGCTAACGTTAAAATTGCTATTTCTTTTTTTGCATTGAAACGATAGAAAACATGTAACTTTAGGCCATCGATCTTTTCTAGCAATAGGTTTGCCTTGGCATCGTTGCTCAACTACGATCACTGGTGAATGTTTTCCTTTTACCACATTTAATCTGGAAAACTCGATAAGAAGGAGAAAGAGAAAGATAGAAGGAGAAAGAGAATAGCGGCGTTAAAGTAAACTTTCAAATATTTAAAAATTCATTAAAATTTGTTTAAATCAAATGTTAGATTTATTGATAGCGTTTTAAAATATTGAAATGTTAATTTTACGTAATTACTTTCTTCGGTCTTTCGTCATTCAACTAGAAGTCGTTAATATTATACCAAAGAGATATAAAAATATTTAACGACTCACCAGTCGATGAGCACTATTGACGTTGAAATTTCTCGCACGAAGAAATCTTATCAGAAACTCATCATCCATTCTCTGCGGTATGCATTCACCTTGTTCTAACGAAAGATCGAGGAAAAATGATTATAAGTTAAACAATAAAATAAATCTTAGAATTTACCTGTTCCGAATATCATTAAAAAGAGAATAATAAAAAATTCATTGAATCTTTCAATCATTCTTATGAACGATAAAGTGATAACGAGTAACGAAAGTTTTTATTATTATTCCCCCACAAACGATTAGGATTCTTTAAGAAAGTTTCCTTGTAACATTCGAAAAACTTTACTCCCGCGAAAGTTATTAAAAAGTATTTTTCTCGTAAAACTATCGTTTCATTCGTTTCCAGCACATTTATTTAACCCGTTACCTAAATCATCTAAACATGATCAAACTTCGCATTGAAAATTTATAATATTCCATTTTGTATTACGAAAATCGTTAATTAAACGTCATGATACAAATTTCGAGTGTCGAATCGACACAAAAATTGATGAATTCGTTACGAGCGATATCATTAATAGTTTTTATTTATTCACTTTTTATATTTCAAACGTCTGTGAATTAATTATCAGCGAGACAAAAGCAAAACGTGTTTTGCTTGTTAATGTTATTCAAATGATAGTTGAATCATAAGGATTCTTGAGATGTATATAACAGATTGAAAAGAGAGAAAAAAAAAATAATATATATATATATATATAATTATCTAACTTAGATGAAATAATATAATTTCGAATAAAATTATTACGATTATCTAAATGATTTTTGAAATATTGAAATTAATTACCATAAATCATGTCGCGTAATTCTTGCAATGTTTGACATTTGACCTCGTCCGTTTCTCCAACTTCTTTTCTAGCATACTCCATAACTTCTGGGGGTGGTTCATCGAGATCGAGGTTAACGATCTCGTCGTTAAGCTCGATTTGCTCGTCCTTGAGTTCCGGCATCTTGGCAGCCCTAGAATCTTCTCTCTCATGAACGCACAACAATCGTTTCTCGTTCTTTATTTCGTCGAATTCGTTCAAACATTGATTACACAGATGGTAGACACCATTTTCTTCAACTTCTTTGTGATTATCTTTCTTACAATTTTTCTTATCTATATCCTGTACCGAAATCGAATTTTTATCGTTAAACGAGTTCATTTTTTGTTTATTATTATTATTATTAATAATGAGATTGCATTAAATATTTATTAAAATGTTTAAAACACTAATGATATTATTAAATACAAAGAACACACTGCACTATACGATGCTGATGCATTCACCGTTGATATAATACTTCACGTTTCGCGTTTATCTTCGACTATCGTTCTCGCACGATACCAACTAAACCTCCTTCTCTCTTTTATCCTTATGCTTACTTCGCACCGCACTTTATTTCACATTTGCGATTAAATAATATAACGTTAAAAAAATTAATTTTTAATTTATGCCAATTTTTTTGTTTGACTGAATTAAAATAAACGATTATTTACGCACGATCTTTTTATGTCGAGTTCGGTAAATACGAACAGACAGAGAAACAGAGAAAGAGAGAAAGAGAGAGAGAGAGAGAGAGAGAGAGAGAGAGAGAGAGAAGTGTGAAGGGAGGGGGGCAATGCGTGTCTCTTACGAAATGTGGTCAGGGTCATCCTGTTGCATCTACTGCTATGTGCTTTCACTAACAACTGTAATAGTGGGTAAAATGTGCGGTAATACTTGCAGAATAAAACCGACATGGTTCTTCGATTGGCTTAAAATACATCATCCTGTACATTCGTTCCCCAACATTTCTTTTCGAAAGCGGTTAAAACTAAGTTACTATCAATTTTCTAATTACATCACGAATAATGTAACTTTGAGATAACATCTTAATTCTTTTGTTTTTCTCTCTCTCTCTCTCTCTTTCTCTCTCTGTTATTATCGTTAATGATATATGGAAGATTTGTTCGCGAAGTCATGAAATTATATTCGTTCGTTCGTTCGTTCTTTCGTTTGTGGGTCATTTGAAAAAATTGCATCTTCCGGTTATACGTTTTCCTTTTTTACCATTATGTTTTTGCATCAGACTGTAATCAAATAAAGATACTATTTCTTATTGAAATTAATTACAATTAAATGGCACTTTAGATGGAATTATTTCCATATTTCGAAATATTCTATAGTATAGAAACAAATGTTTGAAGAAACGATTAAGAAATTCAAATAAGCATTAACAATTTATATATAAATATCTTACTAATTATTTTCTGCGAATTTATAATCTATGCAATAGGATTGCACGACGTTCAATAACAAGTAGTCTTATCGCTCAATTTACTTTGACATGAAATTGATCTCTAGAATAGAATAAGAAAAGTCAATGGAAAATGCTAATGAAATAAAAACGGAATAGGCAAAGTGAGCAAAAAAAAGAAATAAATAAGGAAAAATTATTAACGCTGCTTTATGCATGATTCATATATATGTAAATAATATTGAAGTTTTTTTTTTTTATGAAATTCGTAATACTAGACTATGGACTCGTATCTATCCATTATTTATTTTAAGCATTCAAGATAAAAAGAACAAAAAAACCATTATCTTTTTTTCTCATCTCATTCTATATTTTTATATATCCTGATTGTAAATCTATTCGTTAGAGAAAAGAAAAAATTGGCTATTACATTCATATCTATTATGTCAATACTTACTTACGACGATTAATCACTTGCATATGAATTGTTGTATTGCTTCATCATATTATTATAATAGTATAGATATATGTATCATGTATTTTTAAATATGTTTAGATATTAGATTGTGGATTTGTATGCAACTGCGTATCGTATATGTTTTTCATATTGTAGATATCAGACGAATTATTTATATTTTTTCATATTTTAAATATTTTTCTTCAGTTTATTAGTTTTCTTTGCAATATTTGATAAATCATGAAATACAATTTATAATACTTCCATGCTTAAGACATTTTATCCTTAATTAATCATTTATAATTAACCAATTGATTGGTAAAATAAATAATTAAATATATATCTCGCATAATGTTAATTTATTGTTTATATATTTCCTGGATATTCCTTGCATATTTATTTTATATTGTTTGAATATTTCGATGTATTTTCCCTGCATACAAATCCGCCATTTTCTTATCACCTATTTACCCGAAAACAATGCAGAAAGCATCCCAAGGAGATCTTTTCTTCGCAACATAAGTTGTGACTATTGTGAAAATATTTTCTACTGATTTGAGAAAACATCTACGCTTTATAATATAGTGAGTATAATTATAATTATATTCACTGTTAATTTAATCTATCAAATGACATTACAAAGAGCACGTTGGAATTAAAAAAAAAACAAAATAAAAAATCAACCTGAAAATGATGATTAGCAAATGAAAATAAAGGAAAATGATTTTGGGAAAATATATATAAACAATGAATATTATTATATTATTTATTATACAAATAAATAGAATCGTAATCAAGAATTTATGAATATAACGTGAAGGTGAAATTGCCAAAAATAAAAGAAAAAAAAAGAACTTGTTTGCTATGATTTATAATAGAATACTGTGGAATTATTTTAACATTGATTCTCTATCAAAAATTTAAGAATTGAAGTACATTAGAAATCATTTGTTTATGATATTTTTATAAATTGGTATTTAATATNTATATATATATATATATATATATATAATAACTTTATTTAGAGTAATATTTAATATATATATATATATATTTAATTAAGGAACCATTGGATCGTGACTACATTTCTCGTGTTTACTTTTGTCGAAATGTTTCTTTATTTTTTTTTTTGGTTATCTTGATTTTATTATACTTTTCGGTTTAATAATAAAATCAAATTCAACAAACTCACCGTTAAAGTGTCGCAAGAAATATATTCAGGATGAAAACAAATTGGAACCTCGCGAGGCAACGATCTTGGAAGTACTGCCGATAAATCCCTGATATCACTGTACCCGAAGCAACCAGCACTTTCAACCTTCTTCCGCGTTTGTAATTCCGCACACGAGAAAGCTGTAAGACCGCATGCGGTGTCTAAAACAATTGCCTCACCCAACAGTTCGAGAGTTCACACTAACATAAATAAGAAATTCGACACAATTTTGTTCTTTTAAAAATAATTAAAAGCATCAAGTCGTCTCAGATTTGCTTTCTACATCATCAAGAAAGCGAAACAGAAAAATTCATTAAAAATGGGGGGAAAAAGAAAAAAGAGGAAAGATAAATACCGGTTAAACAAACACCTACGAGTAAGTCTTCACTCGTTATCAATGATTGTGAGTTTACGGTGTTGCTATGTTGCCAATAACATGTGAGCTTTTCTCTTCGAGTAGATTACTTTCTAAACACGTCGCATATATATAAATATGTTACCGTCAAAGCCGGAAATCAGTCATTGCTAGTAATTCCTCGGCATTACTATGAATGCAAAGAGCCTTCAGACGAAGTCAGAAATAAGACATTTTGGAGAGTTTTTCCTAGGCATCGAACATAATACTTTGATATCCTATAGAATATCAAATTACAATTGAAGCAACGTTGAAAAAAATACATTCTCGGGCACAGAGACACACAGCCATGCGCATAATATCAGAGATTGCAATGCTATAAATTGTACAACTTTGCTATTTCTTTGAAAAGTTTTGGTAAATATTTTTCATACTAAAAGTGAATAGATTTTAATGATTTTTATATTAAATTAAAGTGCACTCTTTTGTCTACACGTAGAGTACTATATCGAGTTATAAATTTAGCATGTGAACTTCAAAAAATTTCAGAAAATGTAATGCTGTAAATTGTGCATCTTTGATGCACATGCTTTGATTACAGCTTGTAATGCTGTAATTGTGCATCATAAAACTTCAAATACGCTTAGTAATTGGAAAGCCTGATCGATCCTGATCTAATACATTCGATGGTATTACTTATTCGATCAAATTTTTTAATTGCATTATACTTATGTTAAAAAGACACTTTTTTTTGTCGTTAAAAAAAGTAAAAAAATGTTGACAGAATAAAAACAGCTGGAACAAAATATCATTTCACGGTAATTAAAGTCAAGCCTTTTTAGTTGACGTGTTCTTTTATTTTACGATTATACGTGAAAAAAAAAGAAATTCTTTAAAAGGATATAGCAAAAACGATGAGTTCAAGGTGATCACGTTTATCTCGTTTAACATGAAGATTTCTATCCCTGTTTTGTTCATAGCTGATTCCACACAACTAATAAATAAAATATTTTCTTTTTTTTTTTTCCAGAAAAAAACACATAAATAGTTCAAGAGAATCGAAGAATTTCTTATATATGTTGGTTGCATTTTTAAATGAAATCTCGCTAATGTTCCATGAAACAAAAAAAATTACGAGTCATCAAGTTATAGGAAGAGAAATTTTCAGAAATATTGGAGTTCCCCACTCCTCCCCTTCCCCGATTTATTTAAACTCGGAAGTATGACTGGTCTTTAAATAAACACGACACTATTACCGTATATAAAGACTAGACTATGTATGTACATAAGTGAATGAGTAAGTAAGTAAATGTGCTAAAGGAAGAAAAAAAAAAAAAGGGAAAGAGAGAGAGAAAGAATAAGTTAGATCGTGTTTGTGTATATCACTATAAATAAAAGTACGAACGACAAATTCTAAGTGCAATACAGGAAGAACAACTTTTACTTTCTTGCCAAGGAAAATCGTTGATGGAATTGTCCAGTCTTGCATCATAGTTTGTATCAAAAAGGCCGTATTTATTCTAACCACGTGTTCTATTAAAATTGACGTATATTAGGTCGTCTCTAAAGTTTCTTATATAGTAAGTTTTATATGCTCATATTTTTTTTATTTAATGTTATTTTACTGTATTATATACCATAAGTTTTATTCTAAAATTCTTTAAAATAGATTATATATTATTAAGCAAAAAGTAATATAAAATAAAAAATTGTTTTCTATTGAAAAAGAAGTAAGAAACTTTTCGAGACAATCTAATAGAAGGATACTTACTCTTAATTTCCATGTCGTCATTATAATTAATCATGTCAGATAAAAAAATCTTCATTTTTTACTTCCATAAAAGAATATGAATTTACGTCACTATTCCTTCCCATTTTATGTTAATAGAGAATCAATGTATAATACAATGTACATACATTTATGTATGATAAGTTTTGATTTCTTTATGGACTTTTGTTTCTAACAAAAAATAAATCTTACTTGAAATATGTAAGTATACATAAGTATATGTTATTAAACAAGTGATATAATTCAATAACTTCAATCGAAGAATATAATCCTATCCGATAATTATGCATTCTAGTCAACACAAAAAATTTAACATTGGCTAAGAATATTAAACAGTCTTTCATCGTTCTTTTTTTTTTCTCTTATTCTGACTTCTTTCAAATAATATTTATTCGTTATTCAAGCACATTAATCAACCCTGAATACATTTTATAAACGTTAGATGTAAATTATTGTTACTATTATATAATATAAAGAAAAAATCTTTTCATCCTAATCTTTATTCAACACTATTCATTTCTATTTTTATATATAATATATTATATTGTATATAATCGAATATGTAAAATGAAATTATATTAATCTATTCCTATATGTTAATTATTTCATTCATATATTCTTTCTTGCGTTGAAAAATATTGTTGTACAAATGATACGAAATTTTGATGTTGAGGATACATCAAAAATAGATGCACGTTCATACAATACCGTTTGCCAAACTAGTAAGAAGTTAAAGTACCTAGTTTAAATGCTGCTTACAAAACACACAAATCGATTTGATCGTTTTGTCAGCGCTATGATTGTTACCATCGTCGTCGTCGTCGTTGTTGTTTTTTTTTTCAGCACTATTAATTTTTTATATTTATTTGTACGATCGTAACAATCGAGCGGTTTTTCCTGATAACTTATTATGATACATCAGATTGTTCGAAGCAAATGAATTCATTCGAAGAATGTCAACTAGTATATTAAAATGAAGTCTTGTGATCTGTTGAAATAACCTTGGTTTTTATACTTTTGTTTGCATAACTAAATACACACAAAAAAAGAAAAAAAAGGATATTTTTTTATGTCGGTGATTTATAGAATAAATTTGAATTAAGAATAAAAAATGTTCTATTAAAAATTAGTGCATATAGTGTTTATTTTTAATAAAAATATGCCGATATTATTCATCCAACATTATTTACTTATTTACATATACAGGTAGAAAGCTGAAAAAATATTTTATTGTTCGAGTATCGAGAGAAAAAGTGGAGAGCTCAGAGTTCAAATATCAAACGATGACTGATCTCAGCTTATATAAAAGAATCGATGGAAGTGTTTCTTCATCATTCATAAGTACGTGATATTTAATATTGTACATATTGTTGATTTTATTTTATTCGATTCAATAATTACTTTATCATCAAAATAACATTCAGTTGATTTAGCATATAAATAAAATAAGATTAGGCAACCGGTGAGTGTGAAAGTATTATTTACAAAATTATAATAAAAAACAAAAACTGAAATCATCTAAATTTAAACTTTATCGTGTTATGATATTTCGAAAAAATTAAAATAGTTAAGGTGAATATACTTGCCAATCGTTTAAACAGTGTATACGTACTATTGTGCTTACTTTTAGGAGGAGGGGGAATATATTTTCAAATAATTACGTAATTCTATTACGTTCAACGTTCAACAATCGTTGAAAACATTTTGTTGCATCAAGTAGTCATATCCAAGTGTTTTTAATTTACGATTTTATTCTTACATTGTTATTATTTAAATCAAATTCTTACGAAATAAATATATGATGCTCGCGTACGCGACATTAATACATTATAAAAGAATTTACAATAAAAAAAATTTACGATATATTCTTTTAATTTGATCTACTTTGTCTTTGTCTTTCTTTTGTTTCTATCTATTTTAATATATTTTTTATATTCCCGATTCATTAATTCGTAAAAAAAATTACAAATGTCAAAAAGGTTGTATAAAAAAATCAAGATTTTTTGTTTTATTTAATTACTCCATATATATATATGATATACATCCATATATATATATATATATACACACACACACATTGATTGCAGGCAACACCATTATGATTAAATAAAACTTTCGTTGGATGTCCGATTATACAGGTTCGGTCGGAAAATAATCGGATATGTTCGGCAACCTTCGTGCATATAAGAGTGGGACTGCTAACCAGTATCCTCTTCATTTTCGTTAAGTTTTGGTAGAATAAGGTTGTTTTACCAGCAACTGTTCTTCGTTATATTAATAATAAGTGTTTCGTTATTTTTTGCTATCGAATTTATATAAAAAAAAAAAAATACTTTCATATTATATCCTATTCAAGTGTTTTATCAAACAATATGGCTGTAGTAGATGGAAGTAAGTAAATATATATAATATTTTTTCAAATAAAAAGACACATATACACACACACATAACTAACTTTAATTATTTTATAATTATAACAAAGTATTTATTGCAAGTCGTCATTTTTTGTAAATATTTTTTTTTACATTTATTATCGATAGCATTTTTAATCGGTCATAAATATAACACAAATACGTCAGAATATCTCAATCTATTTTGAAATTTCATATTAGATTTTCAATTTAATTTATTCTTTATTTTTAAATATTCTCCTTACTTAAATTAATTTTTTGTTAACGTAACAACATTAACATAAGTCTTTGTTTCTATATATATATGTATATATAGAATAAATTTAATAGAATTATTAAGTATAGGAAAAAAAAAACATTAATAATCATTCGTCAACAACATAAACTGGTTATAACGCGTATTTCCTAGTGTTACTATCGTTGCTTTGACTCCTCCTCTTCTTCCTTTCCTTGTCAATGTTTGTGTACACCGATATACACAATATCCGTTATATGCCACGTGAGGATTACACGAGAAATATCCGTCAGTTTTCTCTCGACCTCTCTGCTATCAGAATATAAGTTATTCGCGTAAGCAAAATAAAACTCGTTCTTCATTTTATTTCTATATTTCAATTTTGTTTTTCAATAGTTTGACACATTCTGTGAATTATTATTATAGAATCGATTGATCAATGACGATAGAACGTTGTTCAAAGTGAATAAATTTTAAAAGTGATTAAAAAGTGAAAGAATCGAAAAAAAAGAAAAAAAAAAAAAAAAAAATACAATATTCATTATTTCAATATTGTTGTATTCGTTACAAGAAATTATTAATAAATGTTGACCAAAAAAAAATCGCAATTTTAAAAAACAATTTGTTGTTTATCTCGTCCTAAAAAAATGAAATTATTAATAAATGTGTCATAGGGAAATTGGACGGGTTGAAAAATGTTGTTTAGAACACGTTTGTCTTGATCCCATTGAACGGGACTTCTTCAACAACTGACAATTTTTTATTATGACTTTCTACAAAAAATACATATTATAAACATTACAAAAGGATTATTTAATTACCTTGATCATTATAATGTTCTGAGTCCTTTTTTTATAAATTCTTCCAAAGACGTATACATTATTATATTTTTTTTTAAAAACAAACTGTACTCTTCACATTCGCTAATCGTTAATTCTAAATCTGTTTAATTCGAAACACGTAATCAAACACAACTGATTCTATCTAGACTATTGTTTAATAATCTAGGTATCCTCACTAATTATGGTGCTCTCTGTTACGGTGTTCTACTTATGATAATTAAATTTTCAAATTTCGTTATAAATGTGTGATATTTAAATTATTCGTGTGTCAATTTTTATAATTAATTGTATTATTATTTGTTATGTGATATATTTCACTTATATTTCTAATATAAAAAATACCCAATTTCTTTAAGACACATTTATTAATAATTTTAAAAGATTATTTTCAAATTAACGATTGTTTAAAAGATATGTATATATATATATATATATATATATATGTTGGCAGATATATGTTCATATCCGTTAACAGAGGAACACAAAGATAATGTCCTCCTGACCGACATTCCTTTCACCACTTAGGTGTATATTTTCATGCAATTCACGCAGAGTTTCGCTTACTTTCATAAGCCTTGCTTGGAATTACTTTAGAAAGCAAAGACTCGCCCAAAAATGTGTAATGAAAAGGTTCGCCTCGAATTCAGTGAAGAGAAGATCTGGTTTGTTCGAATACTTTCGGTATCTTTTTATTAAGATTATGTAAGATTATTCGAATGTGACAATCCGTAGCATTTTCGTGACTGCTATCGTAATAACTTTCTTTTTTGTAAATTAAAAGCAAATAAAAAGTTCAGGACCGCCTTTAATTAGTAAACTTTCTAATGTATACACGAAAGAAGGGACTATATAGTTAAAATTCATTATATATTTACTTATAACGAGATGTGTGTGTAGATATTATCTATGTATATGTATATTTTTTTTCCATTTTTAAACCTACACTTTGTCTTTCTTTTTTTTTCTTTTTTTTCTTTACTTTTTCATATTTTTCATTGGCTTTTAATTTTATAAGGACTTTCGAATATGCAAATACTAAAATGTAATTATCCTTTGACATTGTATTTCTTTGTACAATGTTAACAAAAATGATTATTAGCTTTTCTTATATCACAGTTTTTGCCAGTTTTTTTTTCTTCTCAAATAATAATGACGAAGATAGCAAAGTTTGATTACTGTAATTATTAGTCGTATTAAGTTAGTAACCTTGATTCTTCGATAACACCTATATTTCTTTTCTTCTTCTTATGTTAATCTCGTATAGTTTATTTTTCTTAACTTCTACTTTGATTATATTTTCCATTTGATTGTCTTAACAGGTTTATATTTATCAATGACTTTATTCGATTTACGTACATATTATTGAAAGAAATATTCCATTTTCCTTTCTTATTATTCATCGTAATGAAACGACATTTAACATGAAATATAAAAGCATTTATAATGAGGATATGAATATATAGGAAACAAAGATGATTTACATTATCTGGGTATCCCCGTTATCCCTGTTTTTTCATTGCCCTCGAGGTCATGAATCAAAGGAAAATTTTCTAATAATATAATTAGATTTATTCACATTGTAATTCTTGCATCGTCAAATACGGTTAGTGTTACGATAGTAACCTTATCTGACTGGAATAAAAATATATATATATATATATATATATATGTATACTTATCTTAAGTATAATATAATTTTTGAATAAAATTTTTCTAAAATCTCGAATTATATTTTTTAGACGTGATGCTTACGGTTGTGAAGGAACTCCCGTTCATTAAACTGGGCGATTTTATTTTACAATTCGAAATAGGACCACTAAATCCCGAATTGCAAGAAGTCGCTAGAAAAGAACTTCGAGAAACACCGGAATTACAAAAGGAATCCATGGAAAGATTGAAAGAATTATTGAAAGGTATTATCGATTTGAATAATATATCTTCGAAAAATATTAACATTCGACAAAATTAAATTTGATTTAATTGTTTCTTTTTTTTTTTTTAGCTGAAACTGATTTAAAGTGTCCTTTGGATAACGACGCTTGGTTAATTAGATTCCTTAGGCCTTGTAAATATTATCCTGAATCTGCTGCTGATCTAGTGAAGAATTATTACAAATTTAAAATCAAACATAGTTCTATATACAATGATTTGAAACCCAGCAAAGAAACGAATATTTTCGAACAAAACATTTTGACAGTTTTACCGACCCGAGATCAACACGGTAGACGAATATTAATCATTCAACTTGGAAAAAAATGGAAACACAATCAATGCAGTCTCGACGAGATCTATAAGGGTTGTGTACTTTATTTGGAAGCAGCTATGTTAGAACCAACCACGCAAGTTGCTGGTGCAATTGTTATTTTCGATATGGATGGTCTTTCTCTTCCACAAACCTGGCAATTTACTCCACCGTTTGCAAAAAGATTAGTCGAATTACTTCAAGATGCTATGCCATTGAGAGTCAAAAATTTGCACATTATTAATCAACCATATGTTTTCAATATGGTATTTGCACTCTTTAAACCTTTTCTCAGGGAGAAATTAAAAAGCAGAGTAAGTAATATATTTATTTTTCCTTTATCTTATTTTGTTAATCAATAATAAGATATTAATTGTTACAAAATGAAGTTAGTGTATTAATGTGTGTTGACTGTCACTGTCACCAGTGACTTGAGTTTGTATTGTTTTTCTTTGATGGTTCGTCACGGTTGTTATTCGTTACCAGAAAAGAACCTTGGATATTTAAAAAATAAATTAAAATGAATATCAAGAAGCAAAAATACGTTGAACATTATAACTAATTAGAGAATATTATTAACTATTAAAGGCATTATTTAACAATTAAACATTTTTATTAAAATGTTATACATTGTCATCATGCAAATGTGGTTTGACAGTCAACATGATAACTTTTAATATAGTCAACTTATTTTGTCGTGTTAATTAATAATTATTTTATAAAACAGTAAATTTTCATATAACGCAGTTAATATTTTGTAACCATTATACGAATTCATTTTTAAAAGCAATTGCATTGTACAACAATTTTTCTCGTACAATATGTCTGTATGTTTTTTTTTTTTTTTCTAATTTCCGCTAAATAATTTACAAATAAATAGCTCATAATGACATATATATATGCATTATTTATTAATATTGAGAAAATTCTTTTTCTTTTTCATAAATAATTCTTGATAATATAGTGGTTAAAAATTAAAAAAAACAACTATGCAAGAGGAAGAATCGATAGCAATTAAGACAATAATTTAATGCGCCATTAAATTAAATTTAATTCTTAAATTCTCGCATTTTATTATTTAACACGTTGTACGAGGAATCGCATAACATAAAAAAAATAATCGTAAAATTTCTAGCGAGTTATAAGAATTCATGCAAACTCATTTTATACTTACTTAACACTATCATATATTCTTACGAAACGAAATATATTAACTCGCAATATTCTACTTCTTTAACGTGTTAATAGTCAAACGATTATTTTAGAATACTTACTTACTTTTTATAAATGTTTATTCATTGATTTTTGATATTACTTCAATTATTTATTTGCCAAAAAATGGTCAAAAAAATTAAATTTTTTTTTTATTTATTCAAAACAATTTTATTTTTAATAAAATTGTTTATTTTTATTTGTATTTTAGATAATCTTTCATGGTACGGATCGTAAATCTCTGCATCAATATGTAACACCAACATGTTTACCTGAGTGTTATGGTGGAACTCTACAAATTCCTGTAGTAATGGGAAACCAATGGTTAGAACTTTTATTGAAGTGTGACGAAGAGTTCGAAGGTGAGTAGAATTAAATTAAACAATTTTAAAATTACAAATTTTTATATTGTTATCCTTTTTTCGTAAAATAACAAGAGAGTCAAATTTCAAAATTTATATCTGCAAAATAAATATGTCAAAATAATTCAATAATAATGATAATTGGTTGATTTGGTACTTTTGCTTCATATGAATGATATATTTATAAAAGGTCTCGCATGAAACCAATAATCACGAATATATTACGTCATCAAGCATCAAATTTGTAAAAAAACAAAGTTGATAATATGACTCACTACAAATTTCATGCTTGACAACCTAATACTTACTTTACGTTATTACATGATGAGTTTATAAATAGAAAAGTATTGTTCAAACTCTAATGTGACGTTTCTTTATTCGTTAAAAAAAAAGAACACGCAAAAGACATTATATGAGTGGATGTACTTTAACAAAAATCAAGATTATAAAAAACTAATATAATTTCAATCTAATATGATTCTCTACCTTTCTATTCTCTCTTATTTAAACCTAATTTAATTTTCTTTCTCATGTCTTTTTTCTCTTTCATTATCTCTCTCACAATAATATAAAATTATTTTCATTGCATGTTTATTTCTGCAAAATTATACCACTTAAATTAATTATGTGTTTAATTAATATTTCTATATATTTTTTTGTTGCAGCTATAAATTCATATGGATATAAGAAGTAGCACGATTCATAAAAATTTCAGAAAAAGAATGTATTAAACTTAAAATCATTGTTAGCGATGCCTTGCCACTAACAATGGTCATTGTAAAAGATAAAGTATCATGATTTTCGCCAGAACCTGTTTCCGCGAAAAAAAAAAGTAATACGTGTATTATTTGTAATTTTAATTATTTTTTATTCTCTCTATTACCTTTCTTTATTATTAGACCACTCTCTAGAATAATTTTTATTTATAGGAATATATTTTGTTTCATATATTGTTTTTTAATACTTATCTCAATACTTATCTCATATACACCATAGTAGTCGCAATTACAGGGAGTTTTCGATAAAGCGAGAAATTGGAAAGCTCGTTTATCGCACATCTTAAAAATGAGTACCTATTTCTTGCATGTTAAGTGTCGTTGTGTATTGTCCAGGTAAATTGTAGATAAAAAGACTTTGAATATACAAAATAGAATTATAAATAACAGATTAACTTCCCTTTAATTGACAAATTCGTAACTCGAAATAATTTCAAACTTGTTTAACAATAAACACAATTTTTTTATTATTTTAAATCAATTAATTATTAACAATCAAAGTTGCTTAAGTTATGTAATAATGATGATAAAATAATCGGAATGATTATTATTTCGAACGATACCTTAGCAAGTTTGCATTTATTTATTAATTGCTTCTCAACACTTTTCAACATATCCATATTTAAATATTTCTAAAAAAAAAGGAAAAAAGAATAGTAATATCGTTTAATTTCATAGAGTAAAAATAAAATTGTTATTATGAAAAGAGTGATTATCTTTCTTAGTATTTAACGTCTAACTTAATAATTAGATATATTAATTGCGTTTAATTACAAATGAAAATATACGTTCTTTTTAATTGGATAATTATTTTTAAATGTAATCGAAAATACGTGAAATATGGTATATTTACGTATGATATAACTGAAGCGACTTAAAAGAAAATGACATTTAATCGCATACTGATTATATAAATTATATTAATAAATAAAAACAAATGTGAATTACCTTCAAATTCTTCATTCCAATAATAGAAGTACTGCCAGAAACTCTCCCCTATAGGACCAATAGATAGATCCGAACCACCATATTCTTTAGGTAACGCTTCCTCACCTACTATATTTATTAACTTTTCTCTATTCGTCCCGTGAAAGTGAATTCTGTTACGTAATTTTTCCTAAATAGAAAAACAAAATCATATGTCAGAGTCTAATTGAAGAAAAAAATATTTGTAATTTCTATCACAATACGTATTATTTTTGTTTTATTACCGAAAGGAATGGTTTAAATATAGTAAAAATCATATTGAATATGTAAGGCTGATTGATAATATGAATGTTCTTCAGACGAGAGGGGAAGGATCTTTGAACCCAGTCCGCCGTCATAGCAGCAAATTTTGGTGTTACATGAGTCACATGACTGAATGGTAAACCATTCATGTCAAATATTACTTGTATTCCAGCAATCTATAGAATAGGCAATTAAAAAACTACAGATAGATGCATAAAACAGGAAATTAGGCATTTACCTGCGTTGGAGGTTCTATAATAATTCCTTCGAACATGAACATGATACATTTAAACATATCGTAGATATAGTATTCTTTTGGTTTCCATTTTGATCCACCGTGTATAAGTATAAGTCTGCTACCGTCGTTGCAACGTACCGGAAGAGGTACAATTAATTCCGAGGAAACAGCATTCTTTAAATCGAATAACGTAAACTTTTCCTTTAGGAATGGATAATTTATAAAAAACTTATAATATCTTTGAATCTATATTGAAAGATAAAAAGTGGAAAATAAAATGAATAAGGAATGAAAATCTATGAATTTAAATTACTGGTCTAAGTAGTTAACATATTAGGGAAAGGAAAAAACTTACCAAGTGAAAGGCACTATTCGGATACCATTTGCATGGTCGTAAAAATTTGATGTAAAATTCATCTAAATCTGGTATAACCAAATTTTCATCACCTAAATAAATCCAAAATTTTTTAGAAATATTTCCATGAAATTATTTTTACTCAAACTATTCATTATCTTTTATGACTCTATTGTTGATAAAAAATCTAATTTTTATATACGAAAACTTTCTACTTGTTGTATTACGAAAAATAAGACCCCTTTATGAATATAAAAATCCATTACCATTTTGAACACTTTATTTAAGTAAAACGAAGAGAATAAAGAGAGACAGAAAAAAAGTTCATTATAACAAAATGTTATAATTTAAATTATGAATTAATGGAACATAAAAAAGATTTTATAAAAGTACTCTTACACTCATAAGAAGAATTTCTCGATCATCTATTTTCGTTTTACTTGTAATTTTTTTCTTTTTATTTTACATTAAATTGTTTACCGTGTGCGTTATCTTCGATTAATCGAGATAATCTTTATGTTCAAATATCGCTCATTTTTCACAATCATATGCTACGATAATTCATAAAATATATTTGTTCAATTTTTCGATTTATTGTTAATCCGCTATCATAATTATCAGCACATATATATTTTTAAAGGAGACAATAAACATGCATTATAGCGCATAAACTACCTGTAAAGTATTTCTAATAATTTTCATTACTATATAGATCAGGGGTTCTCAAACTTGTTAAATTTTCCATTACATAAATAAAAATCAAAAAATATATTTACCACCATAAAAGCATTTCCCGATTAAAAATCAAAGTGTTTATAATCAAAGAATAAAACATTTAAAATCTCTATATAATTTCATTAAATTCGTAAATGGAAATTCGCGTTATAATAATAAAATACATTTTTTTGAACATTTATTTAAATATTTTATGTAAAAATTGTAAAATTTCTAAAAGTAAATATCAAAAAATTATATTACCTTTTACCAGTTCTCGAATAATTTTCAAACTTTCAGCCACTAATTCCGGTGTCTCGCGAAGTTCATTTTCGGCTTTTTTTTTAAATTCGTCGTCACAATTTAACATAATCTTTAATTCTTTCCCATAGATCATTAACTTTGGCACATTTTGCATTTTCTTTTCTATTGATTTCATATCTAACTTTGTAGTTTTATTTGAATTATTAGATAAATCGTCTTTGTAGAGGTTACTTTTAGTTTTTGAAAGATCTTCATTACGAAGTTCTTTACTTTGTTCATTTTCTTTTTCAATTGAACACGACATCGATACTTCTATTATTGTTTTTCACACGAATTTCCTAACGATGCAATATAAACACATATTTATACATATTTACATCTCTGTTACATTTATAAATAAATTATTAGATATTCTATATCTCTTAATGTTTCAAATTTATATCTAATGTGTATAAAAATGAACACATTCGCGAAAATTAAATTTTTTTAATTGAATTTTGTACTTCTATTATTAATTTTAAATGAAAGTTATATATAATCAATCTTTTATTCGATTTTGTTTGTTTATTTTCATGCTACAAGTTAAAAAATTAAATTAATTTGATTAACTATTAAAACTTATCGTTAACCATAATTTAATATATCTACTTACGAGAGGATTTTTGTAATCTGTTTACGAATCTGTAAACTAACCGAAAAACTTGGCACTTATCAACAATACAAGAGAGAAATCAGACAACCGACTGTGTTCCTTTTAAACATGTATCTCAGAGACTTTCCAACCACTTTGCTCTTTGAGTAGGGATAAGTAACTGGAAAATATAACACTAGATACATTGAAGTTCAACAAAGAAATAAAACTCCGTTTAATAGATCGTCGAATAAAATAATATTGGATAATGTAATGTATTCAATATGGCAAATTCCCCACCTTCTTCTTTTAGAAAATTTTCCATGTAAAGAAATTATACTATATTCTTTTTCTTGTGATACGATAAACAATTTTATTTAAATCATGGTCAAAATGTCAAGTTAAATCGAAAATTACATATTATGATTAAATTATATGTTAATTTATTCATTCATTTACCAATCAGAAAAAACTACGCGCAAAGAGCGCATATTTTACACGCTCCGAACGTATTATTTAGAAAACGTTCATTACTGACTACCAGAAAAAGTCATATATATATATAAAACAATCGTACTACCGATAACAAATACATGTAAGATAAGTCAATAAGAGGTATTATCTAATGTTAGTCAAATCTTATATATAGAATTATAGAAAAGATTATAAATTAAAGTGTTTATGTAGTATTCACTGAGAGGAGTAAACAGTATCTTATTAACATAAACCTTAAAATATTAACCCTTTCTTTGTTAAATCAATTTTTAATATTTAGTAATTTTTCTCAATTCATGATCGTATATAATTTTATTTAATATATATATATTTATACATAAATTAGATGATTGGATAAGAGTATTAGGATATTTTTGAGTGTATCAATGACATACCGCATACGTTTCGGTAGACATTAGTCTGAAGTAAATTCATTAATTGAAACATTTCTAAATATTCAAAATTTATTTCAATGAGAAAAGATTAGTTATAAGATTTATTTTGATAAGATATTTTTTAAATCCTTTCATTGAATACTATAAACCCTGTATAATATACGAATCTTCTTTTTTATCACTTTGTATAAATATTGATATTTGTATTACATAAAGTAATATAATTAAATTTTATAAATTATTAAAACTAACATCATTTTTTTCAGCTGGACATGAATATTTGAAATTCAATCACTATTTGAATTTTTTTTTCAAACAGCACATACGGAAACATAAATCACTTCTGAGTCATTATTGTTAAGTCATTGTATAAAAGTCACTCAAGAATATTCGTCACGTGTAAAGAACTGATAATAGAAATTTTATACTTCTGTTAGAGAGATAACTTTAAATCAATTTAAAGAGAAATCTCTCTCTCTCTCTCTCTCTCTCTCTCTCTCTCTCTCTCTCTCAATTTAAATGCAATTATTCAGTAATTACTAAATTGTCATTAATGGAAAAACATTCTTTGGCAATGACATATTTTGTGTGCATGTAAACATTAAAAAACAAAACATTAAAATTTATTTTTATATAATACCTGCATACCTAATATACTTGTTTCATAAGAAACAGGTTTTTCTTTTGTCAGTAATTCGTTACATTCGAAATTAAACAAGCTTCATTAATAATTTTCATTCATTTGGCAGTATAAGCAATAGGCAATTAATTATGAATCGTAAGAAAGATACTAGACATAAAGGTCATAATGCATTAAGTTCGTTAAAATAGTCTGCAGACTTTTATGCAAATGCACATATTCTTTTATAAGAAATAATTAAACTTATGGAAACTTAATAGAAATTTGTTTTGTAATTAGGAAATTCTAAAAATAAAATTTTTTATTTCTTATAATGTGCATATATTTTGCATATATTTATATTTATAATATATACAATAATAAAATATTATATATGCAATAACATATGCAATATATTATATTATTACATATGCTCTTTATCGTGCATATGAATATATTATACTCTCTTGAATAATCTATCTCATTAATAAATAAGTAGTAGAAATTTCATTAAAATTCATCAAGTGGTTATTGAATTGTAGTTGTCACCGACTTGACAAATATAATTTCGAGAAAAACGCATTTAAAGTTTTTTTTTTTATTTTTATTTCGATACGTTATTATATTTTCGTAAAAAAAATGTTGAACTCGATGGATGAAGTTAAACTTTTATTATGTATTTGTATTCTCTGAATCCGAATATCACAATATTTTGCCGAAAAGTTGAGCATTCAATTTTTTTTATAGCCAATTGTTTGAACAATTTTTCCTAAAATACTAGAGATAGAGTTTTTCCGGATGAATTAATTTTTTTTTTATATTCTTTACTAAATCTTGCTAAAGCTTCATAGTTTTTGAATTACATCCATTTGCAGAACACGTGCTGTAACACCAATATTGCATAATCAGTCGTTGAACAATACTTCGCGTGTGACACTACTGTAGTGAAATCAGACAGCATAATGTTAACTTTAAAATCCGACATTGCATATCCATCAACCTAATATAATTAATCTTCCTTTATCGTTCGAATGTTTTGAAAACATGATCTGTTGTAATGTATTTTTAGCATTATAATGACGTAATATAACGGCTATTAACACTATTTGATTACGATAAAAGTGCTGACTAATAAACTAAATTGATAGCACTAAGAATTCGTCCTCCATCGATGGATTTTCGTTTATGTGGAAAATTTTGATTTTTTAACAAAAAAACTCATGACTTTTGTGTCGAAAGTCGAAAAAAAAAAATGCCAAAAGGCGCTGCTATTTTGTCAATTTAAAAAAAAAATAAAAGGAAATAAAAAAGCTTCGATGTAGGACAAGATTTATTATTAAACTAATGATTTATATTTTTTGTGCTTTCTTTTTGGATGATCCAGTAAGATGTTCTGTTGATCACCGCAAAGTACTACTTGCTAAACGGGGTCTTAAAAAACAAAAAAAAGATGGCGATATATATTTTTATAAATAATTAAAATTTTTTTTTTGAAATTTTTTGTAGAAGTCAAGTTGAAATATAATATATAAACTCTGTGTAATCAGTTTTATAAAACAAATTTAATTATTATAAAAAAAAAAAAGAAATTATTCTAAAATCTCTTCTTTTCACGCCTCTGACAACAAGATTGTATGTTTTACAAATAGAACAATCATAGATATTCATGAACGTTCATAAAATTTGTAAAAATGTATTGAATGTATCATTACTTGGTGGTGCTTGGTAATTTCTTTTAAAAGCTTCGATTATTAGTCGATTGTCACTTATTACATGAGTGTACGAACGTATTGCCTATCGCCAGGCGCTGAATAATGTAAGCGTAATTATATTTTTATTATTTTATTATATTATCGGCACAAATCTAATTGTAGTATCAGAATATTCCCATATACGGCACATATAACTTTTTTTGTGTTTGCCATGCGTTCTTGCCTTTTTTCATTCATTATTCAGTCATTATAATGCTAAAAACACACTACACCAGACAATGTTTTCAAAACGTTCGAACGATAAAGGAAGATTACATATATTAGGTTGATGCATATACAATGTCGGATTTTAAAGTAAATATATATAAAACTCCACATTTTTTTTTAATCAAAATATGTTCCAATTGCATCAATACACTATTTTCAACGAACGTCTTAAAGAAATTCTGATCTTTAGTATCAATATAAACTTTGATATGCACTTTTTCAGACTGTCTTCATTTTTAGATTGTTTAGTCCGTAAAAACTATTCTAAATGTTTACAAAAATGAAAATTAATTAGCGAAAGATCTGATGAATAAGATAGATGCGGCAAAATTTCATATTTTAATTCATTTAAAAAAATCGGATTAATAATGATGAGAATACGTTCAACCGATCCAACTTATTTCGTTTTATTAGTTAGTGCGGTACTCACTTATCAATAATAATCAATCAACAATCAATAATAAATATAAATGAGATAAAAGACATACTTTAATGAATTTATTTCGTAATTACTTAATACATATCCTAATTTTTTAATAATGTAAATATCAATCGTAAACAAATACAATACTGCGATGGTACCTCGGTCCCACAATCTCAAATAAGCATTGATAAGCCCGATATGTGTTATCAGTTATGCCATATGCATTTAAATTGGAAAATACTGATATAAAAAAGAAATAAGGATCAGAAGAAAATAAAGAAACGTAGAATTAGGCCAATCAAAAAGAGGCAAACTGGACATTTTTCATCAGGAAGTTTTTTGACTGGCCTAAATGTGAATTGTAATCATAATATGAAGACATTTTTTTGAAGTTTCATTTCCTATTAATTTGTACATTGAAAAAAAAAAAATACTAATGTATTTTAATAATTATTAACTCTTTGCACTCCCCAAGCAATTTTTAATATAACTTACTAGCAATTATCTTACATTGGCACGCGTACCACTATGGAAAATTGAAAATCATTAAAAATATGCGTATACTCTTTCTAAAATTTTGTTATATTAATACAATAAAAAAACAGTAACATTACAAAAACTAAAAGTTACTTTTTGAATTTTTTTTCATTTTATGGGATCTTGCGAAACAATTTCCAAGGTGCATTCTTGGCTTATCAAGACAAGTATCGCAGTATTCTGTCGTTTAATGTCTTTTATCTTTCTTCTGTCTCTGTTGGAGTAAACAACACTACCTCTTTTTTTTACTTTTGTGCATTTCATGAAGTTTTCCATGATCCAATCATCTTTTATCGTAGAAGAAGAATTTTATTATCATCGGCGTCAAATTTAGTGGTTCATTTCGATAAACTATTATATCGCTGTCGTCACTATCACTCTCGATATCATTATACCCATTTTCATTTATATTAATTTCAGCCAAATTATCGTTATATAACGTAAATTTTAGTTCATCTTCACTTTTCGATAATTCAATTTTTTCATCGCTATTATTTTCTTCCCTTTTTTTAGACTAAATATAAAATATTATTCTTTACTTTTTCACATGTGTGGTGCCTCAACTGTTACATTACACACGTATAATTGCATGCAAAAATTATTATAATATTTAAACGTATAAAAATACAAAGCTGCTTTTAGATTTCGGCATAACTGCGACAATGAAGTTATAGGTTATCATCGAAGTGCAAAGGATTAATATTATCATAAAATTTTGAAAAACATAATCAGTATAAGTGAGGAATTCTCTGGAATGATATTTAATAATTTTAGTATTTAAATATTATTGAATAATATAAATTTTATATATAAATATATGTATCTCATATTTTTTCATTTTTAAAAACATTGCTTAAATACATTCAAATATGCACCGATAACATCATATGATGTGAATCACTCATTTTCGGCGTATAAATTAATTTTTACTAATAAACGTCATCAACTAACGCCATTCAATTTCAAAAAAATGATTTTAATTTGGTGTAATTCTATAAACACAATACAATGGAATATTTGTAAATCATTTGTTAATGCTTAATATTACATACGCGCATACGTGTATATTTATTATATATTTTTGCATATTTTTTGTGTATAAATATCACATGTTCTTTACAAATTCGTCATGCATAAATATCCGCAATCTAGTCATAATAAAATTATAAATTGTCTAAAAAAAAAGAAACACGTATTTACGTTGATAAAAATGTATTATACATTATATGTAATTCAGCATAAATTTCCTACAATTAGGAACTATGTTTCATTCCTCACAATTCTATGCTTATTTATATGAACAAGTATTTATACAATAGATAGATTTGTATTTGCGAATGAATGACGTTCAATAAATGACAGAAAAATTCTATTAAAAAAATTATATACCATGAATTATACAGAATATAAAATTCGAGTAAAACTCTAAGCTAGATCTATAATCTTAATCAATTACTTTCTAATTATAATAACTATTGTTAAAGAAAAACATTCCAGTCTTGAATTTGTTCGAGAAAAGAAAAAAGAATATACTATAGGGGACTGAAATTACTCATTCTTGCGATATCCATACAAATTCCATTCTAAAAAATAAAAAACAAAATATAATATTAAGAAAATAAAAAAATTCAAGAGATAATATAATTAGCTTATAAATGTAAATATTAATGAACGTCATAACGTATATACATAAATAAAAAATGTACCTTTTGAACGATATTTAATAAAACTATTACCTTTTATTCTATCCTCAAACTTAAGAATCGTTGGATACCAATCAGCGCTGCAATAATCGATTTCTGGTAGTTCGCCACCATAATTTTTTGGTAGATGACTAGGGCTTATGTGAGTATGCAATGAAGACATTTTCGTGCCGTGGAAAAACATACGCTTCTTCAGTTTTTCACGAATGAAAGGCTTAAACATTTGCCAGACCATATTGAAGAGAAATGGTTGTTTTACGATATGAACCTAAGATATTAATAATGTATCATTATATTTTAATTTTCTTTATAATTTATAGGCATTAAATAATATTGTTAAATCATTATATCTGTGTCATATAAATTATGCATTTATAGAAATGAATATGCATTTAAACCTCTTTTAATCGCAATGGTATAGCATCTTGAATAAAATTTAAAAGTCTCATGCTAAATGACGGTGACAAGCCCATCACTTGTTTCATCGAGAGACCATCAAAATCCATTAATACGACAGAACCGCGTACCTAAAGACAAAATACAAAGTTTACAGTTCAAATTCATTAAAGAAAAAAAAAAAAAAAAGAAAAAATAAGAAAAAAGAGATAGCAAAAAAGAATATAAATGATCATAATCATACTTGAGTCTCAGGTTCATACATGGCGGCTATATGAATGAGATATAGTATTCGAAATAATTGATCGGCACTGACTTTCGAAGGATCCCATGATTTTCCAACATTGATTAATAACACTCTTCGTCTTTTATCATCTCTACCTTTAAGTACGTTTACGAGATTGTGCTCGAGAATTGCTACCTTTTCATCGGTTGGCATTAAATTGTTTATAAGAGAAGCATTTTTCACTTTAAAATCAGCGATTCTCTTCAACAATTCGTAAGCACTTTCTGGATAATATTTACATACTCGAAGAAAAATCACAAGGAAATCATCGTCCGTTTTGAAATATAACGTTTTATCATCTAAAAATATGAATAGAAATAATGAAAAAATAATCGAAATAAACAACTATAGCGACTATAAGACTATATATAAATATATAGACTTAGGCGGATGTGAAATAACATTGCGTGTTCGAAAATGTTTCCTGGGGACTCTTTGAAAATTACATTAATTAATTAAATTAAGGGAAATTTAAAAGAAAAAAGATATGTATACGTTTGTTCGATACAATACGAATTATACAAAAAAATAAAAAAAAAAAAAAAAAACGAAGAGAGAAAAATGAAGTTCTATTAAATAAGTAAATTACATTTAATTATCTGATAATAATATTTTTATCTCTTAAGTATCGAATATATGGTACGCTTTTATATTGTTTATTGATTCAAAGTTAATATATAAAAGCCAATTAACCTTCATCAGTTTTTTAAATCATGATATTCAATTAAAGATTAATTGTAAGTATTTTATCATGATGCAAAGATAATACATTGATGCCTTGTCGATGCTATGAAGTATTAATTGTTAGAACATGTTTTTTAGAGGTATACAAAATTGTTCTTATATTATGCATTTTGTGTGATAAATAACTAAATTATTTTTTTATTTTATAAAAAATCGGATATATAATTTCTTATTATGAATAAAAATCTTTACAAGTACAAGTGTTATTCAGAGAGAAGAAGAAACTACTATGATAATGTTCTTATCTCGGATATTCGTGACCCCTGAATTCTGAACATATTGAGTGTTGCGCTGTGTTAATCTTTGATGTGAGATATAAACCGTGTAAAAAATGATATTTATTAAAATGTTAGATCAAGTGAATGACATTTACTAAAATAATAGATCAAGTGAAAATTTTTAGCTATTTCAATAAATTTTATACAATATCGAAAGTTTAATACCGGTTTTTTTTTTTCAATAAAATTATCTTACATTTTAATCATTTATTCAACTATTAAAACTTTAAATTATTAATAAAATAAACATTTTTTTCACCTTCGATATACTTTCTCAGTGTCTCAATACCCTTTTTTACATTTTCCTCGGTCTCCCTGAGTTCTTTTACGGCAATAGCCTTAGTCTCCTCATCGATAGGGGTTTCTTCCAATTCAAAAGACATTTTTCAAAATAACTTTTTAAAATAAAACAATCAACAATTAAACTTATATTTCTTCTCTCAAACCAAAAAATTCATTATTACTGATATCTTATAGTAAATTGAAAAAACAAGAAGAGCACACCTCACACAAGAATGATCGAAATATATCTGACTTGATAAATCGTTTTATAAGGCCGAGGAAGCATCTTCTTGTTTCCGCCATCATAATATAATCTTTGACCGCTCAAAGTCCAAACGACAAAGTTACGTTTCGATACGACAACATTGCTACTAGCGATTATAGTAAATGTTTTTTGTGCAACAATCAAACAATGATGGTTTTTTCCCTCTATTTCTCATACTTGTAATAATGATAATTTAAATATTATTATTATTATTATTGCCATCTTTGTACTTACACTTTTGATAAGCAGGTATTTAATACTTATTCGATTGAACTTTATCTTCTTCTTAAGAGTCATGTTTCTTTCTAAGACTCATTCTCTCTTCTCTTTATCACTTCTTTGTTTCTTTGATCAGTTTTCTTCTCGTAAGACATTGAAGATATGATGTAAAAAATAAATAAGAACTGTCGATATTATTCGTGGTGAAAAGAATAATCCAACGCTTTCATTAACTAATTCAACTAAGTTCATTTTCTTTTTACATAAATAGTTTTTCAATGTGAAAGAACCAGCCGATATTTTATTTTAACTTATAAAGTAATCGAATAAAAGAAAATAATTTTTGAAAGAGACTGCATAACGGATCGACTCTTAAGCGATGAATGTTTAGCTATCGTTGAATTTATTTTTAAATATGAATACATATGTTATTCCATGAAATTAACTAAAAAATCAACAAATTGAAACAACTCAGACGCATTGGCTAGATAATAGCATATTTGAAATGTGGCCGTGAACTTGTTAGATAAACTTTTCTTTATTAAATTCTGATAACATAAGTAATTAAATACATTATTTAACAATAATTCTCTTTGCATTTCTTTTTTAAGTTTCTGGCTATTTATGTTTCATAAAATACGAATGAAATGAGTAATATGATAAACAAAAAAATGAAATAATGAATACAAAGTACATGAAATTGTAACAATAAATGCTATGCTTATCATTTTATGATGATAGATAATCGTATAAAGGTTGAAGTCAAGTTTCAATGTTCAAATATATAATTTTAATATCAATATTAATTTTAATTACATTTAAATATTGGGGGTTTCGTATAAAAATAATACTTTTATTTGTTGTATTTAAAGAAACTAATTTGCAATTATTTGTTTCGTTTACGAATAATAAGAAGGAATGTATTAATATGAATAACAAAAATCAGATTCGAGTAACTAAATAAATTATTGAAACACAATTTTTTAAAAATTTATACTTATGCGTCGAATGGGTACTATGATAAGTCCCTTTCATTTAAATTTACAATAATATAAAATGTTCCTATTGCATTTAATTTATAGCAAATACATTAAATAGAAAGCACTTCAATATATTATTGTGGAGATCATAATAAATCATATCTAACCAAATCTAATCCCTCAATTCTTTTTTCATTACTAAAAAATGAGATGCGCGTGAACTCATCTTTGTTCGTCAACATGTTGATGGTAACGCATCGCAGTTGATTACAACGGTAACTGTAATACCGACAAATGGGTAATTAAGTTCGCATTATTACCAAAAGAGTGCAATGTAATCGTGGCGCGAGATTCAATGAATATCATTAAAGATCAACGAAATTTCTCGAAGATTACCGAAGTGCTCCGACATATTAGCTGAAAGAGGTGAATCCTTTTATCGTGTGACATCGACATAGACTGGTAGCCAATATAGGCAACGTCGGTAATATAAACGTCATTTTATCCTCATTCTTTGCAATTCATACCGATTATACCTATATATGTAAAAGAAATAAACGTTTTTACTCCATCAGTTCATCAAAATTTCTTACCTATGCATTATTTACTTTCCTCAGATCATTCGTGCTTATCTGCTGCATCTCTGCGATGTGTTTAGAGTTAGTACAATCGTTTTTTATATATACAGGTATTTGCTATATTTTCCGTGCGTAGCGTATTCGTTTAGAGGCTAAGGAGTAAAAAGAGAAAGAAGTAGGAGTATAAGAAGCAATAGAAGAGGAAGAGGAGGAGGTGGTAGTGGCGAAGGAGAAGGAGGTAGAGGATAAACGTGTAATTTTGCGAATGTGCGCCTTTCTCTTCTTCGCGGTCCAAATAATTCGTGAAAAACGATGTCGGATCCCATAGCCACGGACATGATCGACGGCATCTGGCCATTTTTAAAGAGCGTAAGTTTATTTGTATCCACTTTCACTCGTTATTTCTCTCTCCTCCCTCTCTTTCTTTCTCTCTCTCTCTCTCTCTCTCTCTCTCTCTCTCTCTCTCTCTATCGTTCTTTCTATCTCTCTTTATCTCTCTTTATCACGTTTGTAATTCTCGAAAGCGAAAGGCGATAGCACCAAAGTTACTTAACTACTTTCTTACTACTCTTTCATCTTTTAAACTACATTTAATTATTTCCATCATCATCGTCCTTGTCATTATGATTATTATTTAGTCATTATCGTTATTATTTTTGTTCATTATTACATTCTTATTTTCTAATTGTTATTGTACTATCTCATGAGTAATTCTTCAATTATCGTACAATACTTTACGATCACATTTCATTATGCACATGTATTGATTATTATTAATACGTCGTAGTTCGCTCGTCATCATAAATTATCATCGTGCCACTGTCATCAACACTGTCTCGACGACTGTCTCGATTCAGTACAAAAAATCAGCTCTAATATTTCAGATTTTTTCATTTGGAGTATATACTTCTTTTTTACAAGTTTCCTTTCACTTATTTCCTTTTTTACTTGCAGGTACTATTACAGATTGAAATTCTCATTTTAAAATATAAGAAAATGTGATGATCCAATTACATGACAGTGATCTTATAATATTTTAACGTTTTCATTGTTGTTTTTGTAGTAATTATCTCTCCAACTTTATTTTTATTTTATTTTTTTTTGGTTCATCCAATAATGTTAATCGAATAATAAAATATACTTTGTAAATAATAGTAATCCTATATATTTCTTTTTATGGATAATTTTCCTTTTTACAGATCGATTGGAGAGATCCATGGCTAGCTTTATTATTAACTTTTCATGTTGCTGTTACAATGACAGCACTAATGACACGAAATCATGCTAATTTTCAAATAATTTTATTCCTTGTACTTCGTGAGTAAATAGTAAAATCTTTGTATAAATATATATAATAGTAGTTAAATGGACAGAACGATTAACTCCTTTCAAAATTTGACAAAATTTTATTATCATAGTTAGCATTATCAATGCTTGATTTTTTATATCTAAAATAAATTATTTTAATATATATAATTATAGGCTTTAATGACTAAAGGTTTTTATAATCATACAATAATAAATTATTTACAGCAAGGTGTATTACTTTATCAGTTTTCTCTTCTTTTTGATTTATGGAGTTAATTGATTTGGCAAATGAGTGGTTCATATATCTGTTTCAATGTTAATACTATTGGTTGCATTTTCAGTACTTCTTGTTTACTTCACGGAAACCATCAATGAAGTCGCTGCAACAAATTGGATGTAAGCATTGAATCGATAACTATGATAAGGTGTTTCATTATTTATTTCTTTTGCTATTTGTTCTTATAGGGTTTTCTCAAGGCAACAGTACTTTGATTCTCAAGGATTATTTATATCGATAGTTTTTTCTGCACCTATCTTGATGAATTGCATGATCATGGTGGTAAGCACAACTCTAATTTGGCTTAAATTTGTATTAATGTCAAATAACCAGCTTTGTTTATTCTTATAAATTGCTATGACGTTGTAGGCCAGTTGGCTATATCAGTCCAGTCAATTGATGACAAATTTGAAAAGAGCACAATTGAGACAGCAGGCAAAAAATCGTCAATCGAATGGTGATTTGTCAAATATAAATGGTAATACAAATCGACAGAAACAAGAATGAAAAAAGTCTAGTCAGACGATGAGAAATGAATTTAAGGATACGCATTAAGCATTATTATAAGACAAAATAATAGAAATAAGTGATAGTTTTAACAATAGGCGGAAGTCTGCATTGCCATGTAATCCCTTGAATGTGAAAAACATGTCCCGAAAATATCATTCTTTTTTAGCTATTACCAATTAATTGGGAAGTGTAACTTATATTGGTACTGCCTAGTCAATATAATGATGACTTGTATTTTCAAACTTTCAGTATTGTATAAATGTAATTCGATTGTATTAAGAAGAATTTTCGATGCATACTGTAAAGATAAAAAGTAAGCTAAATCAAGTATTTAAAACGAAATTGAAGATCTTGATCAAACTTTAGGTAATGTTTAAAGTCTGTGTTTATAGATTGGCCCAAAATAATGATGTTATTTTTTATTAAGATACATTCCTACAGCTTTCTCCTTTTTCTTACTAATTAATTTGTTGTAAAATACTGATAATAAGACAAAGTGTTCTTAATGCAAAATCATGTACTTACTATTGCAATAGATATTGCTTTTAATGCAAGACAATGGTCTAGAAGTAAAGGCATAATTAGATGAATATAAATCATGTAACCAAGCATGTGTGCGTTATGTATATCAATGTGTGAGAAGTCATGTTAAAATGTATGTATGTCCCCTATGAATGCGTGAATAAATGCTTCTTAAATCAAGAGGTCCAAACATTTATTTGGATATAAATCATAAAATGGTAAATGAAAATCTAATGATCATTGCATGAAATTATGACTTTCTTTATTTAACAAACTATATTAATTTTAGCGTGCTAGTAAAATGGTTTTTCGTAGAATTTTAGTCTGCACGATTTTTTCATGTTGTGTTATTCCTCAATCGATAAAAAGAAATCTTGTTAGTATAAATATATATAACGGTGAGTCAAAAGAGAATCATTTTGAACATTAAGCGTAACAAAAATAAAGCAAATAAATCTTACATGCTGAATTTTATTTTTTTCAATTTCTAAGTTGAACGTTATTTGAAGATGGTCTTGTGTTATACTGTTGAACTCGTTGGATGTTGGCTACAATTATGTATAGAAAAGAAATATGCAATTCCATTTAAAAAGATGTTTGCGATCTTGAAAACACCAAAAAATATGATATTATAATCATCATGTACGTAATCCGAAGCCGTTCTAATTCTGCAATACTTTGTATTTTTTAATTCAACAAAGATATTTAGGTGTCCGGTTTCTTTTGATTCACCTTATATACAAGGTTGTGGCATTTTTAAGATTTCTCATAATCGATAGGACTTTCTTCATCATAATATTAATGCAAAATATACTGAAATGATTATAAGAGTCTCTCTCTCTGTTTCTTTTTTCCTGTTTCCTAAATAATTGATACAATACTAATGTTAAAAAAAAGTACATCACTCCAGCAAAATATAAACTTTCATCTTAAAATTTCCGCGATAAATGGCAGACTCTTGCCTAGTTTTTTTTATTTATATACAATTGGTAATTAGATGACACTTTTTTATTACTCAAATGGTAATAATAGATTATAACGTAACTATCCAGGAATACAGTATTCTTTGGTAATATATGATAGAATATGATAGTATGATTGTACCGTCATCGCTTTAAGTACCTACTCTCGCCCACTGGTGGTCAGGGTACTAATTAAGATGAATGTGATTACGTGAAAAGTGGACTTGCGAGCTTCTGTATACTTCTGTATTATTTTTTAATACTATCTGGTTAACCTATATTATTAATTTACTAATGTTATACTTTTTAGCTATTCGCATGAAATGTTTTTGTATATATGTATGTATATGATAATGTTTTACATTATTTGATTGACTTCAAATATTTTCTTACTGAAATAAATGGTCATATATTATATATGCGCGTTATTCGCTTATCCGTTGTTGCGACTGGTCGGCCACTGACAAGTGATAAAAACAGTGTCTGCAGATTTGATACCATTCTTAAATTAAAAAAAAAAAAACAATAAACAATAATGAAACAATATCGATATTCGGTTGCTATGTTACATAAAACGATAAGTTTTTATTGAATTAATTGGTGGAACAGTAAAGATATTACAGAAAGAAAAGTGCAGAGGGCGTCTATGGACGCCTTTCGTATAATCAAAGTGTTAAAAGAAAACATTTTTTAAAACTCTAGTTTTATAAAGTTAATTTTAATATGTAATGATTATATAATTATTAGAAATAAATCATTATTATGATCGAAGTCACAGAAGAAAATTTCACAGAAATATATCCACAATTAAAAAATGATTTAGAAAATGCAGATGTAATTGCTATTGATACAGAATTTACTGGCTTGGAATGTGATGAAATTTCAAAAATAAGGTTAGCCATCAGGCATATGAAATTATTCAATTCTATAGAAGATTATCAAATAATGGGCATTTATTAATTATATATTGAATTAATAACTATTGTTATTGTTGCATTTTTTATGAGTTCCTATCTAATTGTAAGTCAATGGTTATCGTTAAAGTCATTTTACATCATATCGTTGTTATTACATTTATTTATTATGTATTATTATTAAATATTATAGTGTTAAAAATTGTCATTTTTTTATTCTTTATGAATATCTATTTAAATCAACAGTTATATTGATAAAATTATTTTACATAATATCATTGTTATTACCTGTTGCAGCTTGTTTGATACCATAGAAGAACGATACGAAAATTTACGAAGTACCCTTGAACCATTTATAATTATTCAATTTGGTATTACTACGTTAAAAAGAATTGAAGATAAAAATGAATTTATTCCTAAATCTTACGAATTTTATCTACTACCTAAATCTATTTTTACGAAGAATAAAATAATCTCATGGCAAATTTCAGTAATAGAGTTCTTATCTTACCACTCCTTTAATTTTAATAAAGTATGTTACTTTATAATTTAATTTTTTTATCTCACATATAATATTTTATTTATTAATTATATAAATGTCTTATATAAATATTACTTAAGCTAACTATATGCATTATATGTATAAAACGATGAGTAATATAAATTTTCCTTTGTATAGGTAGTTAATCATGGTATTTCATACGTTAACCAAATTGAAGAAGCTATACTAAATGAACAGTGGAAAAATAATACATTGTACAAAAATGTTGAAGAAAGTATGTCATATAAAGAAAAAGATGATGTTAATCATTTCAGTTCTATGATAGCTGAATGGTTAAAACATTTGAATAACAAAGAAATTTACACTATTCCCGCATTTTCTCATAAATTTCAGTATTTTTTACAAAAAATTTTAAGAGAACGTTTTCGAAATATTTGGACCATATGTAATAAGCAAACGGTATATTTAACAATTTTAATTATTAGTCTGTATAAACATCCATGTATTTATTAATGTTTTTTGTTTTCTTTTCATTGTAGGTACAGGTATTTAAAATATCATCAGATGTACGGGAAATGTTAGAAAACGAAAAAGAACAAAGCTTAGAACATATTTTGTTGAATTCGTATATAGGATTTTCAAACGTATTTAAGCTCTTGGTAGAATTAAAGAAACCTATTATTGGACATAATATCTTACTCGATTTGATGTTCATGCACAAATTATTTTACAAACCTTTACCAAGTAAATAAATTTATTTTTATTTGAAGAACTTCAAATTTATATATTCTACAAAATAATAGTACTTTAATAATTTATATTTTAGGAAGATATTATGACTTCAAGACTGAAATACATAATTTATTTCCTATAATTTACGATACTAAATATATAAGTAACCAAGTAAAAGAAAAATACGGTAATAATTTTAAATTTGTACTACGGAATTATTTTTTTTCCTTTAATTTATTTATTTTAGCTTTAATAATGATTATTATTTTTCAGAAATACAGGTTTTAAATTCACTTGGTTCTCTTTATTGTCATTTTAGCAACTTGGCAAAAACATTTCCACATATAGCAGATTATACAAACAATACATCAAGTAATTAATAAAGTTATAAAATTGTTTCAATCAATATTAAATATTGAAATTTTCATTTATTTCATTTATTGAACAATGTATTATTTTTCATTCTAATTATTTATTTCACATACAGAGAATTTTCATAATGCAGGATGGGATTCGTATTGTACTGGATACATATTTTTAAAAATGGTATATATGTTTGCTAATGATAAATATCCATTGTAAGTGTTTTATATTAGTGATTTTTATGTATTTGTGACTTTTAATTAATAACTTTTTTGTTACAATTTTTAGGTCATCTAATTACGTCATAACCCACGAAGAATTAATGAGTTTAACACAAGAGTATGCAAATTGTATAAACTTATCAAATGCTAATGCACTTTATTTGGTAAGAATATATTTTCTGGACTGAAAATGAAAAATATTATATTTATTTCTTTAAATTATATTTAATAATATTATTATTTATTTTGTGAAAAAATGAATATTATGAATTTTATAGAAACTTGATGGTAAAGATCCAAAATCGGGAAGACCACCGTGGCTGTTTGTAAAAACACGAGAATCAACTAATTTAGATATAAATGAGGTACATCAAGTTCATTTGACAATGAGATAATCTACGATATTAAGTCATAAGATAATCTTTCAAAATATTTTTAATATAAACATTTAGATTTCGAAAGAACTATCGCAGTTTGGAACTTTTGATATAAAACCTTACAATCGTGGACGTGCTTTGGTAGCTGTTGCAAATCATACGAGGTTAGTAGAACTAAACTTAATGAAAGTTTTATTATGTCAAATAAAATAAATCCCGTCTTTTATAATAACTTATTATTCTCTTTTCAAAATTTTTTATACAGTGCGTATGATATTTTAAAACATTTTCATAACAACAAAGAATTAAGTGTCGTTCGTTACAATCCAATAAAACATGCTCCATCTATGAAGTATCTTCTTTTGTAAGTATTTCATATCAGCCATTAATTATAAAGAGAAATATTTAATTTTATAATATTTGTTACAGAGGTAGCGTGCTCGTATCGAGTGGAATGTTAGCTTGGATATTTCGTCGTTCTGTATCCCCAAAACTTTCGTAATATAAATCTCTATTTTATAAAAAACTATATTTTCATTATTTAATATGTAATATGAATCTGACATAAACGTATGATTTTTAAGTTTATAATGGACACATATTTTGCGGTCAACCATAATTTAAGAAAACATTGGAACGGTTATGCCAATGTTTTATTATTTTACACTACTCTATTTTGATACGTTACGTTGTCTTTCTTTGTTTTTTAGTGATCGTGATCTTTCCTGCCAATAATGAAAATACATGTGATATAAAGTTACATTAAACAAGAATGGATTAGCAGTTGACAGTTCCAGCTAATTAGATTCACATCCCACGACAATTTTTCTATCAATTCAGCAGTGGCTGTTTACGGTTTGAAATTGCAAAGATGCTGCAGTTTTTGAAATGAACATACACACTAAAAATATAGTATATATATGTGTTAAATAAATTATTAAAATTACAGTAAAAATAAAAAAGAATATTGAACGTGAAAAATATCGTTTAATATTGATAAAATTATGCAGTTTATTAATATAATAATAGCTTTATTAATATAATAAATAAGGCATATGAATTCATATTTACCAATAGACCACCATTGGACGATAGTATGTACTTAACGCGATGACGGTACAATATTATCAAAGAATACAATATTCTTTGATAGTATATATAGTATAATTATATTGTAAGAAAATTTAAAATAATTATATTTAATTTTTAGTGTTTAAATATGTGTGTGCCTTCAGAAATGCGTTTTTTATACATATATATTTTAAAAATTAGAAGAAAATCAAAACGAGTAGATGATAAATCCAACGGTGATCACCTGTAACAAAAAGAAAACTATATTAATCATAGAATCAAGTGATATAATGGCCTGAAATGTAAGTCGTCCAATTCTCAGATGCACTTTTCAATTGAATTCTCTATTTACTTCTTTCAAATCTCTATTAACCGTTGCAATAAAATTAAATTTACACGCGTGATTTTACATTTACATAAAATATATAAAAATAAAGAAATAGGAGAAGTACCAATATTGAGTTACTATAAAAAATAATATCTATTAATTATGATGTGAAATCATTTTAAGCTGCATTATATAGAAAAGAAAAATTGCAAATTTATTAAAATACGATCAAAATGACAAATTTTAAAGACGAAACAAGAAAAAAGAAATTACTATAATATTTACCGAACGTGTTATTTAAACTTAAAAATTTAATATTACGAAAATTTTAATATTTTTGACTCTAACTAACACATATGCATCTTTTGGACGATATAGACACGAATTTGGTGTCCCAAGGAGATGGAATGGTCCATCATCTCCAATTACAACTACAAATTAATGACGAGCAAAACAGTAATATAATAAAATATGACTAGAGAGCTATTCTCGAAAAGTTTTAACTTGCAGTTGAACCTTTGAAAATAACTCAATAGTCTAGTAGTTGCCCACTTGATACCACAAATTTGTGGGGGCCTCTTCGGCATTTAGCCTCTTCTTTCTTTATGCCCTAGACGCTGCTGTGAGGCTTGTTTTAACATTTACTCGAATGCCTCAACAGATATTTGATCTAATCGATGAACCTATTATTAACACTTTGCATTTAAAAAATTAAATAATATCAAACAAAACCAGAAACTTTGTAATAAATCTTATGGTCTTACTTTTTTACTCGACCACATTTATCTTTTATCTTTACTCTACTTTGTATTTACTATGCATATATAACAAATGAAGTATTTTCAGTAAGAATTACTAAAGAGCAAAGTGTTAATATACTTAATATTAAGTAAGTATCCAACGTAWTCWGYYATCTTCMCTTTTTYGAAAAAAAATTAATTTTTAAGAAAAYGCAAAGACTTTTGAATCGTTCGATACTGATTTATATCTCGCGGTACAGAGTATCAGCAATATATGGAAAAAATACAAGAAATATTTAAATGATAAATGAATCTAAGGGTTGCTGAAACTTTGTATAATATTCGGAGAAGAAATTTTCCATTCCTGAGTGGAAATTACAATCGCGCGACTTCTCCGGTCTCTACCTACTTACAAATTAAATAAACATTCACACCTAAGTATGCTACCTGCTTGTCTATTACCCATATTTAAAAAGATCAAACATACATACATACCCACCCA